TATATAATCAATCAAGATATCACATTAATAATCATTATTTATTGTATTACATAAATTATAACACCAAAAGTTTCTCTGCAGCTTGTAAGATTACAGTGTTATTCATGTATCACTATAACACCCATTGCATTTTGTAAGTAATTCAATATTTTTTAATGAAAAACTTTATATTTTACCACTTTCAGTGGCACTTTTTTCCTGCTTTTTTAACAAAGGGCCCCACATTTTTATTTCACGGAGGGCCCTACAGATTATGTAACCAGGCCTGCCTGCTACAGAGTGCTTTTCTGCTCCAGGCTCCACTCAAATCTGGTATCCTTTCCTGTCACTCAGTATATGGGCTGGAGCAGTACTCCTAGGTAGAATGGGTTGCTTATGAACACCGAAAGGTCTACCAAGCACTGTGCCTCCGTTTCTGCAATAAGAAATGCAAGAAGCAGCGATTTGTTTTCACTTTGGAGGCAATGTCCTGACATAACACTGGACCCCTAAGATCCTCTACTGAAGTGCCAAGTCCCTGAATTTTTATAAGGTCTCTCTCCTACCCTCTGGAGCACGTGTCATATGAAAGATTCCAGCATGTTAGATGCCTCTTGTTCATCCTGCCTGATCAGCATGATGTCATCAATGTAATGGATGGATATGATGTTCTGCAGGATGTCCAGATCTGTTTAAACTCTATTATGACATATGGTTATAATAGGTGTTTTAACACACTGATCTGCTAATTCCTTCATCTCGTCATTTATTATCTGTTTTTGCTGCCTGGTTTTTCTTTTGGTTATGGGTCACATTTTCCTGTTTGGGGGCCTGTGTAGTAATTTTTTTTTAAAATAAATTTATTTATTTATTTTTGGCTGCGTTGAGTCTTCGTTGCTGCACCTGGGCTTTCTCTAGTTGCAGAGAGCGGGGGCTCTTTGTTGTGGTGCACTGGCTTCTCATTGCGGTGGCTTCTCTTGTTGTGGAGCACGGGCTCTAGGCTCATGGGCTTCAGTAGTTGTGGTGCACGAGCTTAGTTGCTTCGCAGCATGAGGGATCTTCCCAGACCAGGGCTCGAACCTGTGTCGCCTGCATTGGCAGGTGGATTCTCAACCACTGAGCCACCAGGGAAGCCCAGTAATTTTTTTTAAATTGGATCCAGGCCATTGTAAATTTCATGTTGTCGAGTATCTAGATTTTGTAGTCTTCCCTTAAAGAGTATGGGGCCTTATTTTGGCAGTTAAGTTTCTAGCAGATCAGCTTGACACTTTGAGACTTGTATTTAAACTTTGTCATCGTAGGCATACAGTACTTTTCACGCATGATAGTTTAGCTCTACTACAAAAGTATAACCTTTCTGGGTTCTCTACTGAATGCTCCTTGTGATCAAGAAAGACTTTCCCTTCTGGCTGGTTGGATCTCAAACATTTCCAGCTCCTCTGGGAATTATTATATATCCTTGGTCATTCATTGCATTACCTTATGGTGTCTTCACCCTAGGCATGTGCATCTTTGTGTTCAACAATATCTCCCAAAGATATCTACCCAGATTTATGAAGCTTTGCACCTACATAGCCTCCTCTTTGGAACATTGCCCCACAAGTTCCAGCTACTTCAGCCCCCCCTTAACTGTAATCTTTCTCTCTTCAACTCAATTTTGTTCTGCATGGGACCTTTTTCCTGGCTCCCTGGTTCAGGATGTGCCTCCAGGTAGAAAACTGAGGCAACTGTTTGTTTCCCTTCACACGTACTCTTTAAGGGCAGACTAAGAGGAAGAGACAAATTGCAAATAAAAGTAATAAATAGGCTCTTGAATCGTTTGATAATTTGTAAAGAGAAGTGAATCATACAAATTCATTTAAAAATATTTAAAGTTTTTTCTGATTTGACCTCAAACTGACATCAGTGAAATTCATATAAACTCATAATATGTGATTGCAGTGAGTGCACTGATGACTAAATTAGTGCCTTCAATGCAAGGAATATCTAAGATCAGTAACGGTGCAATTTGAAATGCCCATCTAAAAATATTTGATAGAGCTCCTGAAATTTCACACACGCACACACACAAATAATGAACTACAAGGATGAAAAAAATATTTCTGAGCTATTAATAATAAAAAAACAAATACTGATCAACCATGCTAGAGAAAAAGTAAATTATCTTCATATTCTCTCTATAGAAAATATTACAAACCATGGTCATATGAAGAGTCGATTAAAGAGTACATAGCCATAAAATTTGGGAAAAAAGTTTGGAGAGGCATGCCTGACAGTTTATTAATAAAAATATTTTGTTATTTTTACATTTTGCATTATTTGTAATAGTTCTCAACTTTTAATAGTTTATAACATTGTGATTTCTTTTCTCAGTCTAAATAAATATACACTTTTGTATCTAGTTTTGTATTTATAATTGCTATTCTTTTTCTTAAGGAGCCCCCAAAATCGTATATAAGCTTCAGGCCACACAAAATCTGGATTTGCCACTGCTATCATCATCTCTCCACCTAACTGATCTACCTTCATCCATTCCTGTCCTCTTCTAGTCTGTACACCGTGCCACAGCCAAAAGGATCTTATAAAAATTCATGTATGATTATATTTCTCCTCCACTCTTCCAGTGATTTCCCATTAGCCTTAGGATAAAGACCAAAATCCTTAACATAGGGTCTGGGCCCTGCCTACTTATCCCCTTCCTTCTCTCTCTCAGCTGCAATCATGGTGGCTTCTTTTAGTTATTTGAATGCACCTCCTTAGGACTTTTGCACATGCTGTACTCTGTGCCTAGGAGACATTCTACCACCCACCTATTCCATTAACAAATTATCTCCTTTAAACTTCAGACTGTCATTCAAGGTTATTTCCTCAGGGTATCTTAGACTAGATCAGCCCCCTACGCCCTTAAATGTTCATCACACTCTTTGCTTTTCCTTCATAGTATGTCTCCCTATTTGTAATTATACACTTCTGCGATTGTTAGGTTGTATATTTCTCTGCCACTAGATTGCAAATTCCATGAAAGAGGGACAGTGTCTCCTCAGCACTAGCCTAGCATCTGAAACAAAGTTGGTACCTAATTATACAATCTCTGGCCCTAAATAATTTACAATCTAGTTTTGAAACAGAAACAGTGAGAAAGTTTAACAATCTGGAGCATCAGTGCAGATGGAATAGATTATTTTTGTGTGCAGAAAGTCCTACTGGAAGTCTTGAAATCTGAATACATGGGGGTTGGTTATTCCATCAGTGTGCAAAATTAGCCTAGCCTGAGGCTGTAACATAGTACACTGGCCATCTGGGAAGTGCTCTGACCAGATTCCCAGCACAATCCTTTTTTGCAGTAGAAATCTACTTCATTCTTATTTTTCACTGTGCTTTTTTTTTCTTATAATTTTTATTGGAGTATAGTTGATTTGAAGTGTTGTGTTAGTTTCTGCTGTACAGCAAAGTGAATCAGTTATACATACATTAATACATATATCCACTCTTTTTTAGATTCTTTTCCCATATAGGTCATTAAAGAGTATTGAAAAGAGTTCCCTGTGCTATACAGTAGGTCCTTACCAATTTTCTATTTTATATATTCTACTTCATTTTTAAAAATTCTCTTGTCTTCTGTAGACTTACTTTTTAAAAAGTAATAAAACTAAGGATGTTTCCTTTTGCATAAGCCTGAGAGTTGTGTGTATGACATTCCCAAGCACTTCCATAGTTATTTTTCCTTATACTACAGTGCTTTCACAGATTTGAAGACTTCCAGTTGGAGGGTTCAGCTTAGAGAAAATACACCTTATTTGTTAGGAACCAGGAGGTACAGCCTGTTGTTCTCAGTTGGGAATAAGGCTTGGTGGTTCACCTTGCCAGGGATATTTCCTTTGTTATTGTTATATTCACCAGTTTCTTTTATTTTTTAGACTCCACACATAAGTGATATCATACAGTATTTATCTTTCTCTGTCTGACTTATTTCACTAAGCATAATACCCTCCAAGGCCAGAGATACTTCTATTTTCCTAGACTTGGGCAGAGGGGCAGGGTAGAGCTGTTCTAGAGCTATCACAGAAATATTTGGAGCCCTAGTGTCATGGAATTTTTATCCCTAAACATTACTTAATAACTTGGTTGGGTGACCATGTCGCAGTGTTTTGGTTTTAGTTCAATGTGCACATCCTCCAACATCATCTAAAAGGTCTTTCAAAAAGTCACCAATTTTTAACAATCCACCTGCCAATGCAGGGGACACAGGTTCACGCCCTGGTCCAGGAAGATCCCACATTCCGCGGAGCAACTAAGCGTGCGTGCTACAACTACTGAAGCCCGCACTCCTAGAGCCCGTGCTCCGCAACAAGAGAAGCCACCGCAATGAGAAGCCCGCGCACCTCAACGAAGAGTAGCCCCCCACTCGCTGAAACTAGAGAAACCCAGTGAGCAGCAACGAAGACCCAAAGCAGCCAAAAAGAAATAAATAAATTTTTTTTAATTCACCAATTTAATGTTAGAGTAAATATTCCAAAATTCATCAAGGAATATTAGGCTGTCAGAATATCCCTAAATCGTTTGTTTGAAACCACGATATCAGCTGAGGAACAGCATAACCAGGCTTGGACTTAAACTGAGTTGTAGGGAAAATTAAAAGCGATTAAATATAAGGGCACTCAATAAGTGTTGTTGACTCGGGGATTAAATAGGGTACGGCCCAGACTTTGCCCACCAGCTGATCTTACTACCTCGTAGGCACATGCCTCCTTTCTCTTAACTGCTTCCTATTGGCTGATTCCCTTCCCCTCTTATCTGATCGTCCCCCCCTCCCATTTTAATCCCTGAACAAAGGGGTCCTACCAAAACCCAACGCCTGCCTGAGTCGGGAGCAAGCTCGGGTCCTGCTCCCCTATGGCTTTTCCCCCCTTTCCGCCCACTTCCGGGTTTCCCTCCCTGCTGCTGTCTCCCCTCTTCCTTTCGGTCCGGAGCCCGCCCCTCCACCCGTCACGTGACCGCATGGCGTGCTCCGCCTCCTGCCCCCGGTTCACGTGATCGCGCCCGGTTAGAAAACGCCCGGCCACAGACGCCGGCCTTCACAGTGCAGTCTTTTTTTTCCAGCTGCTCGTGGCTTTCTCGCTCTCTAGCCTTCTGCACGTCTTTCCCCTCCGCCCGGGGTCCCCCCCGGAGCCCTGTCCGCCATGCGGCTCCTGCCTCTGGCCCTGGGTGAGCCCCAGCGGGGCAGCCCTCGCCACCTGCCCTACTGCAACTCAGCGCCGCTGCTGCTGCTGCTGCTGCTGGGAGGCTGCCTGGGGGTCTCCGGGGCGGCGGCGGGCTCTCGGAGGCCCAATGTGGTGCTGCTTCTCGCCGACGACCAGGACGAAGTGCTCGGCGGCATGGTAACTCTTCTTTCTGTTTCTGCCCCGCCCCTCCATCTCCCGGGCTGACTCCCTGGTTTCTGGCCCTCGTTCCCCATTTCTAACTAGCTGCCTCGACCCTGGGTAGGTTTGCTTTTGCCGCGCCAGGCCCTTTGCGCAGGCTTATGGAGCTGCGGGACTCTATTTCCTCTTTCCCCCGAGCCTCTCCTGGGTCCACACAGAGCTTCTAGTCTGGACCTTACTCCTGAGGAGTTTGCTTCATGTCTCAAGACAAACATGTGGACGCCTGTTAGGGATGGGATGAACCAATGAGGAGCAGGTGCTGGCTAAGAGCACGCCAGCCTTGATTGTTTGTCTTTCAGGTTAGAGGACAAATCCAGCCCCTCTTTGAGGAGCCTAGGCCACTTCTGCATTTGACCCTGTGTGCAGTGTCTGTGCCTGATATTTATAAAATAAGTGCTGATACGAACTATTCTGGTAGGTAGGTTGTAGAACTCTTCAGGGTGTGCTTTGCCTCACAAGAATCAAGAAAATTCAATTAGCCTAATTGGACACCTGGCTGATGCATTAGATACTGTCAGCGTTCCGTTTTATATCAGATGGGTGGTGGGTGGTGTTATGAGACTTAATTCTTTCCCAGAGTGAATTTTGCTTCTGGATCTTAGAATTCTCGAATTTGTGACCTTCAAGAACATCTACCCAACCCTCTACTCTCGGAGGCCTAGAAAGTGGCTTGCCCCAGGCTCACGAGTAGTTGTGGCAGTCCAGACAAAATCCTGACTAGGGCTCTCATCCTGGGTATGGCATTACTCCTACCTTTTTAAAAACAAGTACTTTATTGCTTTCTTCCTTTCAGTTCCCTTTTTGCTTTCAGCTAAATGCTATGAAAGCACTTTTGGCACGAGGTTCCTAACTTTTACTGTGTGGGAACACCCTAGCTGAGTGTCTTTCAAACTGCTGATTTCAACCCATAAGTGAGTTGTGAAATCAGTTTAGTGAGTAGCTACCAGCATTTTTACTTCCCTGTGGAATAGAGTAGAATAGAAAATGTCTGTGTGATACATGAGGTCAAGGTAAGCATATCCATATATAGATATGTCTTAGTTGTGCATTAAAATGTATTTCTTCCTCAGGGCTGTGTTCAGTGGTATGAGAGTCTTTTCTAAATGATATTTAAGATGCTTGCGTTTTGACTCCCTGCTGGTTCCTGCCACATGTACCTCATTGCCTTTTAGTTTCTATCCAGCCCCACTGACAATGAAGAGTGTTGACTTAATGGCCCTCCTGGATTTTACTTTGTTTTTTCCACCATTCCAACTGCTACACTTATCCTCCACACAAAACTCCTTTTAACAGATTTTTGAGTGTGCTTTTGAAGTGTTTTGTCCAGAAAAAGCAAGCCATCTCTATCAAAACTTACTAATGATTTAGTGACTTAATTAAAAGACCCAGGGCTTCCCTGGTGGTGCAGTGGTTGGGAGTCTGCCTGCCGATGCAGGGGACTCGGGTTCGTGCCCTGGTCCGGGAAGATCCCACATGCCGCGCAGCGGCTGGGCCCGTGAGCCATGGCCACTGAGCCTGCGCGTCCGGAGCCTGTGCGCAAAAACGGGAGAGGCCACAAAAGTGAGAGGCCCGCGTACCGCAAAAAAAAAAAAAAAAGAGACCCAGCTTTCACGGCTCTGTTGAAAACAAAATCCATCACTTAAATATAAGGTATTCAGAATTCAGTTTCTTCAGTCCTTGTAGACCACCAGTGTGGTCTGTGTATATTTGAGGTTTCTTCCCTTTAGCCTGTTAATCCTATTTGCTCCTTTAAACCAGTAGTAGATTCTTTTATACGGATGTTTGTGCTGGAGAGAAGAGCCAAAATTAAGTGGAGGGAAAAAGTCAAATTTAATACTCCCAGTTCTCTGGAGAATTCTGTCATCTCCTGTAACCTTTTACAGAATACTCTAAACACCACTAATTGTGAAACAGGACTTGACGGGGAAGAACTAAGAAATAACAGCATTTGAGAACCTACTTGGAGCTAGTCAGAGTGTGAAGTGTTTTATACAGTGCTTCAGTTATCACAGGAATCCCCTGCTGTAGGTATTGTCCTTATCTTAAAAAATGAGAAACTAAAACTTAGAAGGGGTTAAGTAACTTGGCCAAGGTTCATATAGCTATAATAAGGGGCAAAGCCCGGTGTCTTACAGTGTAAGAGCCCTGAGATTATATGCTTTTTCTCCTATTCTAGAATACTATGGTAATACTGATTTACCAGATGTCATTCCACATACCCACATCAGCATAGTCACACCATAGATCAGAGATTTTTTCAGGTGACATGGAACTCCTTAATTTTTTTTTTGCATCTTTATTGGAGTATAATTGCTTTGCAATGGTGTGTTAGTTTCTGCTTCATAACAAAGTGAATCAGTTATACATATACATATGTTCCCATATCTCTTCCCTCTTGCGTCTCCCTCCCTCCCACCCTCCCTATCCCACCCCTCCAGGTGGTCACAAAGCACGGAGCTGA